AATCACCTCCTAACCCCACCTCTTAATACTATTGCATTGAGGACTAGGTACAACATATGTTTGGGGGAAACACAAACATTCAGGCCATAGCAAATCTGTAGACTAATACTATTTCAGCATATTGCAACTATTAGACATAAACAGAATTAATAGAAACAAAAGGAAACAACTTCCTAGGTACATCAGGAAAGATGGCACTGGTGATTTACTTTGTGTAGAATATAATTGTCTCTTTTTTTTCTTAATTTTTCTTTACTAGTACTTCCTTATCTTTGCTTTAAATAAAGCATGCATGTACCCAAATTTGCCAGAAGAACAATTCTATCTGAGGATTCTCAGCCACTGAGATGTGAAATGGCTTTCCAAAAAAATCTTTAGTGCTTGGACACTCTGATTCATACCACTTAACATAGCTGAAAGCCATAGCATGGATTATTGATGCCTCCCCAGGGTTTCTCATTCTGTGAGATTAGAGTGTGATATCAGACTTTGTACTATTAACAGGCTCCCGGAAGTTGCTCATGCTGCCTGTCCAGGGGCCACCCTTTAAAAGGCATAGTTTAGAGGATTAAATATACCAACTTAAAAGTTAAAATAATTATTGGAAGACTAAGGCAGATAATATCTCGGTTTCACAAGATGAATAACAAACCTAGGTTATTTAGAAAATGCAAAGTTTTAAGGAGGTAGACAAAACTCAATACAGTAATGAATATTTCATGTCCTCCATGTAACACTCTATTAACTTGAAGCCCAAAGCCTCCATCTATCACTGATTGTCAGAATCTAAAATCCTTTGAGGTTGAAATGCTTTGTTATTTGACTTGAAATCACTCTTTTTTTTTTTAATCTCATAGACAGATCTTTTTGAAATTTAGATATTAAAAAGTTATGACCACATCTGTGACCAGTAGTATAATGCTGGACTTCATTATGAGGCCTCAAGGCCACTGCTTTAATGTAGGGAGGCAAACTCCTTTTTTCTTTCTTCAGTCTCAACTTCCTAGGCTCAAGTGATCCTCTTGCCTCAGCCACCTGAGTAGCTGGGGCTACAGGCATGCGCCACTATGCCCAGCTAATTTAAAAAAAAAAAAAAAATGTAGAGATGAGGTCTCACTATGTTGCCTAGGCTGTTCTTGAATTCCTCAGCTCAAGCAATCATCCTGCCTCAGCCTTCCAAAGTGCTAGGATAATAGACGTGAGCCACCGTGTGTGACTGCAAATTCCTTTTAAGACAGCATCAGGCTGGAAACGGTGGCTCATGCCTGTAATGCCTGCACTTTGGGAGGCCGAGGTGGGTGAATCACCTGAGTTCAGGAGTTGGAGACCAGCCTGGCCAACATAATGAAACCTCGTCTCTACAAAAAAATACGAAAGATTAGCCAGGCATGGTGGCAGGCGCCTGTAATCCCAGCTACTCAGGAGGCTGAGTTAGGAGAATTGCTTGAACCTGGGAGGCAGAGGTTGCAGTGAGCCGAGATGGCGCCATTGTACTACAACCTGGGCAATGACAGTGAAACTCGGTCTAAAAAAAAAAAGAATCAATGAGAGCAAACAACAGGGACAATGATGGTGGTAACAGTCCAGAGCAATTTGGCAACATGAGGAAACAGATGCCAACTAAGTGACTTTAAATGAGAAAAGCAAAATGAACATGGAGAGAATTTATATTTTCAGATTAATCTATTTGAGGTCTGAAAATTCAGTGTACCCAGTATCAAGAGGACTATACTGATAAACAGAGTTGTAAATAGAAACATCATACCCAGGTCAGAAAAGAAAATATCTATACCGTATTTTCCTTCTGCAGCTGCTGTGACAAAGTATCACAAACTCCGTGGTTTAAAACAACACAAATTAATTTTTCTTTTAGTCCTGGAGGTCAGACGTCTGAAATCAAGGTGTCAGAAAGGCTATGTTCCCTTCTGGAGGCCCTTGGGGGCAACTTTTTCCCTGCCTTTTTCAGCTTCTAAAGGCTACCTGCATCCCTTGGCTCTTGGCCCCTTTGTCCACCCTCAAGGTCGGCAGCACTGTGTCTTTAGAGAAAGAGTTCTCTGACTACCTCCCCTGCTTCCCTCATCAGATCTCCTTCTCTGACTGTCTGTCCTGCTTCCTTTTTGTCATCAGATCTCCTTCTCTGTCTGTCCTGCTTCCTTTTTGTTATCAGATCTCCTTCTCTGTCTGTCCTGCTTCCTTTTTGTTATCAGATCTCCTTCTCTGTCTGTCCTGCTTCCTTTTTGTTATCAGATCTCCTCTGTCCTGCTTCCTTTTTCTCAGGACTTTGTGATTACACTGGACCCATCCAGATCATCCAGGATCATCTTCCCATCTCAAGATTCTTCACTTAATCACATCTGCAAACTTCTTTTTGCTGTGTAAGCTGACATATTCACAGTTTCTGGGTATTAGGATGTAGACATCTTTGTGGGTGGAAGGAGGAATTATTTTTCTGCATATGCTGTTTATTTTGTTCTATCAAAAAACTCTTGGGGGTGCCAAACACACTGGCTCATGCCTGTAATCCTAGCACTTTGGAAGGCTGAGGCGGGTGGATCATTTGAAGTCAGTAGTTTGAGACCAACTTGTCCAACATAGTAAGACCCCAGTCTCTACTAAAATACAAAAGTTAGCAGGGCATGGTGCTGCATGACCGCAATCCCAGCTACTCAGGAGGCTGAGATAGGAGAATCACTTGAATCCAGGAGGCGGAGGTTGCAGTGAGCCGACATCATGCTACTGCACTCTGGCCTGGGCAACAGAGTGAGACTCCGTCTCAAAAAACCAAAAACAAAAAAACAAAAAAAAACAACAAAAAAAAACTCTTGGGGCAGTGTTTTCTGGGCATATTTTCAGGAGGAAATTGATTAATGGTGTTATATGGAAGAGTATAGAGAATAACCATGAATCATTCATTCACTTGATAAACATTCGTGAAGCGTTCCCTGTGCACCAGACATAGTGATACACAAAGCCAGACTCAAGGCAAGGATAACTCTGGGGAAATGGGTAAGAACATGCTGAAGCTGTAGAGTGTGGTACTAATGAACCAGGACTCTGGAGTCTAATGATTTGGCTTTGAATCTTGGCCCCACCATTTATAAACCTTATGACCTAAGCAAATTAGTCATCTGTGTGTGCCTCAGTGTTGTCACTTATGTAGCTGAGAAAATTAATATCTGTACCATAGGGTTCTAGTGAAGGTTAAATAAGGTTATTGATAAAGTTTTTAGCACACTGACTGGCATAAAGAGTTCGAGAAATGTGGGCATAGAGGAGGAACTAGAGAGGACTATAAACAGAACATGGAGTGCTTACTGCCATAGGGACTTTGGAAAGGCTTTCCAGAGGTAAGCCTTGAAAGTTAAGTTTCATGTCATCAATTGGGAGTTGAAGAGATGAGGGTTATGCCAGGAGCAGACATAGTGATCAATTTGGAAACCATGAGGAAGGGCTGAGGTGACCAGGAGGAAAAGACCTAGGAGTCCAGGAGGAACAATATTCAAATATTGTGCTTCAGCCAGGCACAGTGGCTCATGCCTGTAATCCCAACACTTTGGGAGGCCTAGACTGGCGGATCTCTTGAGGCCAGGAGTTTGAAACCAGCCTGGCCAACATGGCAAAACCCTGTCTCTGCAAAAAATACATAAATTAGGCCGGGCGTGGTGGCTCAAACCTGTAATCCCAGAACTTTGGGAGGCCGGGGTGGGCGAATCACAAGGTCAGGAGATCAAGACCATCCTGGCTTAACATGGTGGAACACTGCCTCTACTAAAAATACAAAAAATTAGCTGGGCATAGTGGCGGGTGCCTGTAATTCCAGCTGCTCAGGAGACTGAGGCAGGAGAATGGCATGAACCCAGGAGGCGGAGGTTGTAGTGAGCCAAGATCGCACCATTGCACTCCAGTCTGGGCGACAGAGACTCTGTCTCAAAACAAAAACAAACAAAAAAAAAACATAAATTAGCCAGGCGTGGTGGCATGCACCCGTTGTCCCAGCTAACGAGAGGCTCAGGCACGAGAACTGCTTGAACCCTGGAGGTAGAGGTTGCAGTGGACCAAGATCCCACCACTGCACTCCAGCCTGGGCAACATAGCAAGACCCTATCTCAAAATATCTATATATCTTTAGATAGATATAGATATAGACATATAGTGCTGGGATATTGACACAACAATAAAAAATTAGACTTATTTTACTTCTATCCAGAAAAATACCCAAGCCTAAGTGGAAATGACAGAAATAACTTTTATCTCCATATTTGAAAGAAATTGTGATTAATAAGGATTTCCTTAATTTTTTGAGGACAGTATAAACCCTTCTCTGTGCGCCACTCACTGTGAAAACACACTGCCCTCTTTGTGTGGTATCTACGTCCATTTTCCTCTTCACTGTTGTTAATAGGAGCCCAAGTATTTTCATGATCAGTGGACTGTAAACTTTAAAGGAGGCTGGGCTTTTCTCCCGCCCCAAGGGTGTAAATCAGGATTGGTTTGAACCAATCACGACAACCATTGCCTTTGTCATTGGTTAGGACAATGGGCATTGGTTAGGATGGATGTGTGGCACAATTCTTGCTGATGACATAGGGGAGGAAAGGCTTTGGAAAAGCTTTTCTTATCCCTTAAAAAGATAAATGAAACTAGGTGCAGTGACTCACACCTATAATCCAGCACTTTGGGAGGCCAAGGCTGGCAGATCACTCAAGCCCAGGTGTCTGAGACCAGCCTGGGCAACATGGCGAAACCCCATCTCTACAAAAAATACAAAAATTAGCTAGGCATGTTGACATGCGCCTGTAGTCCCAGCTACTTGGGAGGCTGAGATGGGAGGATCACCTGAGCCTGGGAGGTCGAGGCTGCAGGGAGCCGAGATTGCACCACTGCATTCCAGCCTGGGCAACACAGGCTGTGTCTCAAAAAAATAAAAAATAAATATATAAATAAAAAATAATAAGAAAAAAGATAAATGAGGGATGTGGCTGCACTCTCTTCTCTTCCAGCTGTGAGATGTCAGTGGGCAAGGATGTGATGCCTGAAGATGTGGTATCTACCGGGAAACAGTCAAGGACCTGAAGATGAAGCCAGCATCTGAGGAAGACAGACAGAAAGGATCTGGATACATGATGAGGTAAATGAGCTGCTAAATTATCCAAACCTGGAATAATAATATGTCATTTAGTATGTTTATGTGTAGTATATTCAAGTACATTCAATGTTAAAGTCAATTATGATATTCTTCCCCTTCTTACAGCCTGAAAAGTATCTTGCATACACCACTGGCAGCACAGAATCCTGACAAACCGCTCATCAGAAATCAACCACAGACTCTCTATGCTCTTACCGAAACGCTGGCTTTGAGAACTAATTTTTTTTTTTTTTTTTTTGAGACAGAGTCTTGCTCTTGAGTAAAACATGGGGAAAAAATCTTTCTCAATTTTATCTTTGAATCAGACTATGTCATGAAAGGGCTATGTTTTTATCCATTACTATTAATACCATGAAGGGTCCAGCAATAGATACATCACCTATATTAACTATATAACTATCTTTCAGAATTAATTCCTGCATAGGTAAATGAGTAATTCTCTAATTCCTACAATTTCTACAACTCTAAGATTCTGTGATATCAAAATTTTCAAGTATTATACTAAACTCTCAATATATATTGATAAACTGGTTCTTTTGCTATTGCAAAAATTCAACCAAGAGATAGGAAAATAGGTCAACGGCAACAACAAATTCATGGAGACTGCAGCAAAAGATTATTTAACACTTTCTTCCCTTATATGGAAAAGAGAGCTGTTCTCCTTTTTGAACCATATTCCCCTAAATACCCTCACAATCTTCTTAGGCCTCTCACTCCTTCATTTTCTTTACTAGCCCCTCCATCTCATCCTTATTTTGAATTCAGATGAGTTAATACAGTTTGATGGCCTAGTTCAGATTCTAGAAAGGGACAGCTATTCAGAGGTGATAGTGACATGCTTTTCTCTTCTCACATTGCTTCTCTTTAAAGAATTTACAGGACCTCTGCCTACATTTACATCTCAAGAGAATAGTTTCATTTGGTGTCACATCCTTGTCAAAATTTTTTGAGAATATTGGTAAAGGACAACATATTTACAAGGATTTCTTTAGTAAAAACTGGGGAGATTAGCAAGTGACACTGTCACTAAATAAATAAAAATAAAAACGGAGAAGAGCAATAACATTTGATTTGTTATTTCCCGGTCTAGGGAAGAATATCAAGTCATATGAAGTCCGAGACAATGGGAAAAGAAGAGGTATTCCTGTGCAGGCCCTCTTCTAGTTAGAAGGTGATGGTTTCCAGAAGTCTGCACCTGTGTTTCAATTACCTATATGGAGTTTGTAGGACTAAACTATATTCACTATATTTTCTTATTTTTGTGTGTGTGTTTGATGCTCTGGCAACTGGGGCCTTGGTAATTGGGGAGGGATAAGTCTTCTCAGGAAGAGCTAATTCTTAGAGATAAAGGGAGCATGCTTTTCATATGCAAACTGCTCAAACTGGAGTCCACACTCCCCCAGCCTCCTCTATAGGACTCCTACTCTCCACCCCTGCTCTGATCATCTTGGGACCAGGAACCAGGCAACTCAGGATGGCCTCTACACCCCCAGAGCCCACCGACATTATTCAAACTAGACAATTCTAAGCTGCTTGCCCTACCTTGACCTTATTCCTTTCCTTGCAAAACGCAACAAAGGCTCTTGCCACATTTACCTTCTGCTTCCTCTGCCTCCTGACTGACCCTGGTGCTTTCCTTTGTGGGCCTTCGTGGCTTACCTCCTGTTTCTAGGAACCTGCAAGTGTAAAAACTTCTTTCTTGGCCGGGCGCGGTGGCTTAAGCCTGTAATCCCAGCACTTTGGGAGGCCGAGATGGGCAAATCACGAGGTCAGGAGATCGAGACCATCCTGGCCAACATAGTGAAACCCCGTCTCTACTAAAAATACAAAAAAACTAGCCGGGCGAGGTGGCGGGCGCCTGTAGTCCCAGCTACTCAGGAGGCTGAGGCAGGAGAATGGCGTGAACCCGGGAGGCGGAGCTTGCAGTGAGCTGAGATCTGGCCACTGCACTCCAGCCTGGGCGACAGAGAGACTCCGTCTCAAAAACAAAACAAAACAAAAAAAACTTTCTTCGTGACAGTCATTTCCGTCATTTCCATGTCTGCGTGTCTTACTATACCTGTTTTAAACAAATCCAGAGCACATTTTAAAACATAAATTCAACTGCTGAACCTGCTATGTAGAGCAATTCAGGCAGAGGGAATGGCTCATGCACACTCTCCAGGTACTATTAGATATGAGTTCTGAATTTCTCTCCAAAGAATCAATATGTCAGTATGTTCAGTTCTTTGCCTTCTACTTTTAAGCTTAACTTCCTCATAAAGCAACCTTTTCCCGTTACCTGCTCCACCCTGACTCATTCCGATTACCTGCTCATTCTCCACCCTGACTCATTCTGACTTTCTGCTCTGCCATAACCATTTTTCCCGCCAAACCACTCATCCCATCACTCTCTTTAAATTAGCAAATTGGAATTAGTTTAGCCTGTGCGGTCTAACCCAAGCCAATAGGGGAACAACACAGCAGCAGGGGCCACGGGCGTCAGGGATAAGGACCTCTTCCCCTCCCTTGTCCAAGTGTGTGCTCACCATTGCTCCATCTGTAAGGGCACACCCTTCTATAGAAGTATGTTGCCTTGCTGAGGATTAAAAAGAAAATTTTATATTCGAGTACTATTTCTTTTGCAGCACTGCAACTTTATTTATAATAGTACGAATGAGCCTGGTATGTGCAGAGAAGAACCAGCAGATCGGTCTGGCTGGAGCATATCATAGGAGGGGAGCATAATGGGCAAGGAAGCCAAAGAGGAGGTAGGAGCTAGATCGTTCATCACGCAGGGTCTTGAAGGCAAGGGTAAGGAATTTGGATTTGATTCTAAATGCGAAAGGAAGTAACTAAAATATTTTAAGCAAGGAGTGATTGAATCTGACATTTTTTTTTTTTAAAAATCACTCTGGGGTCTACATGGAGAAAGAATTGCACTGATGCAAGAGTGGAAGCAGAAAAGCCAGTCCGGAGACTACTGCAGGACCTGAGGCAAGAGATGACAGTGGCTTGGACCATGCTAGTGGCTATGGATATGGAGCCCAGTGCCATCTAAATCTATCCTAAGGAATGCAGAAAATCAAAGGCTAGTCTCATATGAGACAAACTCAAGCCCCAGCAGAATAACAAATGGGACCCTAAGAAGTATAAATAATGCCAGATCATTTCTTTCTTTGATAGAATGATGAGTCCCTTTAATCAGGGGAAGAAGAGTTTCTGGTAAAAAATCTTGAGTCAGGCACGTTTTCTTTTATGTCTCAAGATAGAATTGTCTAATGCTTAGGTGGTCCACATCCTACAGGTTATCTAGTTTGGTTCCCATGTTTCATGACTAAGAAAACTGAAGTGAGCTCATCTTGGTGAGGGTTTAGCCCAAATTAAACCTCTGGAGAGTAGATTCTTTAATGCTCAAGAGGCTTTCTGCAAGGAAAGGACGTACTCTTTGGGCTGTGTTTAATGCTCAATTTATTAGTCTAATATTCTATTCCCAGTAAAATGCTCAAATTCAGGAAGGATTCTAAAAAATCAGTTAAACATTTTTTCTCTTCTTTTTTGTGCTTCTGTTTTTTAACCTCTTCAAGATAAGACTGGATAATGACACCCATCCAACTTATTTTCAAAATGTTTTGGAAAACAAAGATATTGATAAGCAGGTACTATGCAGAGTGCCAGATTAAAACCTTTAGAGACTCAAAAAAAGTTCAAAAATGTCATAGAGTCCATACCCGATACGTAATTCTATATACAAATAATACTAGTCCATAATGTAAGTGGGAGACCAGCAAGATCCTGGTAATTTTCAGATGACTTTTTCCGTAGTTTAAAAGTAACCACTTTTTAACTTAAAAAAAAAGTTGTTTTGATGCCTCTGTTTTTGGTGCCCTAAGAATGTATCTAATCTGCATTTGGGTAATCCAGTTGCCGTTGAGCATCTGCCATGCTAAGCACGTGCTTCACAGTGGATGAGGAAATGGGATGTGACAGAGAATGACTGGAGGGCTTCTTGATTGTGTTATCAGAAAAGACTTTCCTGAGGAGGGAACTTTCAAGTTGAGGTCTAAATGATGAGGAGAACCCAGCTACGTAAAGATCAATGGAATGAGCAACCCAGGAAAAAGAAAGAGAAAGAGAAAGGAAAGGAAAAAGAAAAGAAAAGAAAGAAGAAACAGGATCCTGCACATCAAGTAGCCCCCCATCTAGTCAGGGAGACAGACATAAAAAGCACTCAGTTTGTCCGGGCATGGTGATTCACACCTTTAATCCCAACACTTTAGGAGGCTGAGGTGGCTGGATTGCTTGAGGTCAGGTGTTTGAGACCAGCCTGACCAACATGGTGAAACCCTGTCTCTACTAAAAATACAAAAATTAGCTGGCATGGTGGCGGATGCCTGTAGTTCCAGCTTTTTGGGAGGCTGAGGCATGAGAATCACTTGAACCTGGAGACGGGGCTTGCAGTGAGCAGAGATCATTTCACTGCACTCCAGCCTGGGCGACACAGAGAGACTCTGTCTAAAAAAAAAAAAAAAAAAAAGGGAAAAAAAGCTGATTTTAACACAATGCAGTTCCTGCTGCACTAGGCGTGAGAACAGGAACCCAATAGAAGGAGTGATTAATTAGAACTGAGAATTGAGAAAGGGCTGTGATAAGCAGAATGTACAAAATTATAGAGTAGCATTGTAAAGATTTAAACTCTTGCTTCAATGGAGACATTTGTTAAAAAACAGATTACTGGGCTTCCCTCCACATTTACTCAGTCAGAATCTCTGAGTTGGCTGCCTGGGAATCTATGTTTTTGACCAAGCACCTTCTGATGCGAAGACATTTTGTGATCCTCTGATTTATGGAATAGGTTTTGAAGTTAGGTGACTCGGACATAGGACCTACATCTCACTTTTGTCACCTGCGAAATGAGGATAATAATACAATCTTCCTCACTGGGTAACTTTGAGGATTAAACGAGGTTGTATTTATAAAGCGTTATCTATTATGGCTATTAAGTGAAAAGTATAGCTTTGGTCATAGCCGAGTGAAGAACTGAACAAGCGGTCTCTGAGCTCACTTGACATATCTCAGAATCTTACATATAGGTGAAATGATAGAGGCAAGGTCACAGCCATTGGGATAAGCTAGGGAGACTAGAAAAGCAACATTCAGGGTTGGGGAGGAAGCCAGTTTCTACTGGAGCAGGAGAAGAGTGCACAGCTGTTGTGTCAAAGATTTGCAGAAAACAGCTGACTTTTCCTCTTTCTTGTTTCTTGTTTTTTGTTTTTTGTTTTTTAACTTCCTCCTTTAATTAAAGTACAAATTATTTAAAGACTTCCTTCCCCACACCTGAGCCTAGCCCTTGGCTAAATCAAAAGAGAGGTATCTCCCTAAGGAAGGGAAGCCCCCAGGGAAGTGAGGAAGTTAGCTGGGCCAAGTTTGGCCGAGGAGAGTCAGGACTAGGAAACACTGGATTGATTCAAACCCTTTCTACAGTCCACAGGGCCTGAAAATTGCTTCCAGCAACTGACAAGTTCATCCCCTTCCAACTGGTCTGACAAGCCCTGAGGAAGGAAGACAGTGATATCCACCCTCCCACCGCGCCCCCACCTCCTTAACTGTAAAATTGTCCATCTCATCTTGGACTATCGGGAAACCAACATGGGACTACACAAAACCGCTACTTGAAGATCAGCACCGAAAGAGTTGTTTGTGGAAAATGGTTGACCAGGGTCAATGTTATGTGTAGATGTGCAAGAAACTGCCTACCTTCTAGTCTCCAATTATCTACATGTGTATAGGAGATGTTGGAAATTTCTTTTTGGACTGATTCTTTGAAGCCTTACCTCCTTGCATAGTCCTGATAGAATAACGAATTGGGTTCCCAGGGTTGAGTGAGAAGAGTGGGTTTCAGGAGTCATTCACACACTGCATTCTGCCTTCCAGAGGCAGTGAGGGGCAAGAATAAGAGAAGGATCATGGGCTTTGGGGTTAGCCAGGACTACACCCAAATTTCTGCTGGGCTTGCTACTAGTTGGGTCCTGGAGCATGATGCGTTCCCTGTTAAGGTTTTTTGTTTTTGTTTTTGTTTTTGTTTGTCTGATCTGGTAGCCTGCAGTAAATGGTTGTTCCCTTGGCCTTAGGATTTATAGCCTGTGACCAGTTACCAGATTATCTCACCACTGAAGGCCCAGATAGTACTGTGTATAATGAAAGCAAGTACCGTTATTAACACTTGAAGCTTTCTAACCATAGTATTTCTCGGTTCAAAGCAAAGAAACCGGATCCACCTATTTCGTTTTGCATGACTGGTATAGATATCTATAATATTGAGAGGAGGGGCCAGCTGGGCTTCCTGGGTCGAGTAGGGGCTCAGAAAGCTGTGAAACTCACTAATTTCGTGCATCAGGACTGACTTCGGTCCTGGATGAATAATATTGAAGATATATGCTTAAAATATTCCTAACACCAGGATGTGTGCATGTGTTTTCTTGCCCAAGAAAAGTATAAACAGCGAAAATTTTGCTGTAAGTTTCCCTGTGTCCTTTCTCCCTCTCTCCCTTCCCCCTCCCCTAAAACTAAAAGGAATGTTAAATGCCCGTTTTCTGTGACCAGCGGACCTTATCTATGCTCCTAATTCCAATTGCTTGCAAACATACTTTGTAAAGTCCTGTGAGATCCTGTCTCCTTTGCCATGCCACTACAAGGTCATAAAGTAGATAAAACCTAAGTTGCAATTCTGGTTTTCCTCAAAACCTAAAACATGTCACACAGTAATTTACTGCCTTTGTTTCTCACTCTGGTAACATCTTCCCTCTGCAGGCACGTATTTCCCGCCTTAAAGAGTTTAAAAGGCAACTGCATAATCTAACTCTGGCTACCCGCTGGGGACCCCTTCCACGCTCTGAAAGCTTTGTACTGTCACTCTGCTCAATAAAGCCTACAGCTTTTTTTCTCTTGGTCCGTGTCTCCATCACTCGCCGCAGGCAGCCGCCACACTAATTCTTTGGTGTGGCTAAGGCAAGAGCCTTTGGCATTACAATATGTGCTACCATATTTTGTTTGTTTCTTTGTTTAGTAATTTTTTCTTTTTTTACTTTTTATACGATTTTTTTCTTCTTTTAGAGATGGGGTTGTGTTGCCCAGGCTGGTCTTGAATTCCTGAACTCAAGGGATCCCTCCCACCTCAGCCACCCAAAGTGCTGAGATTACAGGCATGAGCCACTGTGCCTAGCCCCATATGTTTTTTAATGATAAGAAAAATGTAAGTTTTATTATTTAATCAGTGTTTAATGGCTAGTTCTGAAAAGATATTACTTATATTTTGCAAGTTGATTCTGTTATACACGTACAGAATAACTACAGTACAAAACAGCAATCAAGTCTGAACAGGAAATCTCTGGACAAAGAGAAAAATACTACCTTTATAGACTGTGACTATCACTGAAATACAGGACAAGGGATTATGGCAATATTAGTGGCACTGATTAGTGAAATGATTCTAGGGGGAAATGTCAGAAGATTTTCTAAAGAACATGTACTGAGCAGATGACCAGTGACTGAATAATTGCCCTTTCTGGGTAGGTGCGTAACACACACACACATGTTTAGGGGAATTGTGACCATTGGGTTCCATAGTAACAAGATAAGTTATAATAACCACTTTTCATTGAGCACCTACAATATGTCACAAACTGTGATAGGGACTTTAGGTATTTTCAATACACTATCTGTTATCTATTTTCTTTTCTTTTTTTGAGACTGAGTTTCACTCTTGTTGCCCAGGCTGGTGTGTGATGGTGCGATCTCAGCTCACGGCAACTTCTGCCTCCCGGGTTCAAGCGATACTCCTGTCTTAGCCTCCTGAGTATCTGGGATTACAGGCATGCACCACCATGACTAGCTAATTTTGTATTTTTAGTAGAGATGGGGTTTCTCCATGTTGGTCAGGCTGGTCTTGAACTCCTGACCTCAGGTGATCTGCCAGCCTCTGCCTCCCAAAGTCCTGGGATTACAGGCGTGATCCATCTCGCCTGGCCCTGTTACCTATTTTCTATTGGTAACTGAGGTAAAACCTACTGGAGGCTTAGCCAATAGGTTCATGTGATCATACATTTTGGAGAATGTAAGAGAGAATCAGGGCAATTGATTATTGCCTTTATGGGTTGAAAGCAGAAACACAGGAATAGTTTGCTGATTTGAAGAGTGAGATGACCTGTAGAGTAAGAAGCAATCTAACCATTAACATCAACTCAACTTGGGCAATAACATTTGATATTTTATTTATGGGACAAATATTTATTGAGTATCTAGTTTGTGCCAGGTACTAAATACGTAAGCTTTACTAATCCTACTTCTACAAGAATGATTTCTTTTTCTTCCTGAAATAACCCTTTAGCAGAGCACCAGATTGTTTCAGACTTAAGTTTCCTTTTCCATTTCGTTGACAGCAACAGTGTTCTTATCATAGTAATTCACTAATGTTTATTCTGTATAGATGATTGCCAGGGATGTGGCAATATGTCCTTGGGAGCTTCAAGCCATATATATCTGGTTCATCTTTTAGAAAGTTCATGGCATAGATGGTCAAGGATACAGTTTATACTCAGGAGATGCAGCCACCCTAACAGAATTACAAATGAATGTTAAATGGTATAAACTCTGCGTAGCACAAGCACAGAAGCATCTCTTTGGTCTGAGGGATATTTGCAGGGACCATGAATAGGCAGAGAGAGGGGGACATGTGGTCTAAGCCTCTGAGTTGGGAGAGGACAATGATGGGCATGGGGGAGAATGTATATGCTGTTTGACTTGAGAGGATGACATGTAGGCATTCTGGTAGTCTTTTTCTTGACATCTGATACACAATCACTTCTTTCTTTTCTCCATGAAATCTGGCCTCAAAGATGAGTTGCTGCGCCGGGCGCTCAAAGATGAGTTGCTGCGCTGGGTGGCTCACGCCTGTAATCCCAGCACTTTGGGAGGCTGAGGCGGGCAGATCATGAGGTCAAGAGATCGAGACCATTCTGGCCAACATAGTGAAATCCCATCTCTACTAAAAGTACAAAAATTAGCTGGGCCTGGTGGCGTGCACCTGTAGTCCCAGCTACTCAGGAGGCTGAGGCAGAAGAATTGCTGAGATCGCATCACTGCACTCCAGCTTGGCCACAGACTGAGACTCCATCTGAAAAAAAAAAAAAAAAGAAAAAGAAAAAAAAAATGATGAGTTGCTCGAATGTCAAGGTCTACCCCTCTTTAAAGCCCCCATGATTTGCACTCACTGCAGCCTTGGCCTGGATTGTCCTCATCTTGCCCTTTCACTGGTGGGTTATTTACTACTTATCATTCAAGGGCCGGGTAGAATTTTACCTATTCTGAGACACCTTTTTCAAGAATGAGTCTTTCCTTTGCTGTGCTCCCATGACACAAAGCTCACCTTCAATAAATAATTACATTTTCTGAGCCGGGCACGGTGGTTCACGCCTGTAATCCCAGCACTTTGGGAGGCCGATGTGGATGGATCATGAGGTCAGGAGTTTGAGACCAGCCTGGCCAAGGTGCTGAAACCTGTCTCTACTAAAAATACAAAAATTAGATGGGCATGGTGGCAGGCACCTGTAATCCCAGCTACTGGGGAGGCTGAGGCAGGAGAATCACTTGAACCGGGGAGGCGGAGGTTGCAGTGAGCCAAGATGGTGCCACTGCACTCCAGCCTAGGCAACAACAACAAAAAAATTTATATAATTTTTTGTACCTTCAGTGTATCATGTTCATCTTTGCATCCCCAGTTTCCTCAAGAATCCTGGCATGACAGAATATGCTTGTTGAGTGAACAAATTGGCTGATTCTAATGTTCATAAGTCAAAGTTCACCTCTCCTAATTGCTGATTCAATTCCAATTTGACAGTGTCTTTTACAGATTCGGAGTGAGTTGGGATACTTCCCTTTGTCCTAACATTGGAAAACCTTGGAGAAAAGTACTGTTATTTTCTCCATCAAGTACTTTATCTGAGACATGGGCAGCTAAATAAAAAATTGACACCTATTTCCTGCTTTTTGCTCATATTCTTTTAGCGTTCTATTTATATGCCAACACTACCATTTTAGACCCTTGAAAATCATTTTTTTAGCATCACTCTATATATGGTGTGATTTAAGGACAGATAGGGAGGCTGTGTCCTCAGTCCTCATCCTATACATTTTTCTGATGTATATTAGTCCATTATTAATGATACATTCTTTAGGTCAGGATTTCTCAACCTTGGCACTATTGACACTTTGGGCTAGATCTTTGTTGTGAAGGGCTGTCCTGTGCATTGTAGGATGTTTAGCAGCATTCTTGCCCTATAGCCACTAGACCCACTAGATGCCAGTAGTGCCCTCCTTCCAGTTGTCACAACCAAAAATATCTCCAGACATTATTAAATATCCCCTGGAGGATAGAATCATCTCCAACTGAGAACTTTTTTAAAGAAGAGAGTTTCTCCCTTATAGACACACATATACTTAATTTCATTCTTCTTTGAGCCCTTTCTCTTCCCTTTCACCTCTTCCTCTTCTTCTACCTCTGTCTTTTCCATTGAATTTCCCCTGAGATTGTCTCTTTTTCTGAGTACTATATTTGTCTTCTCTTGCAAGCAGGAGAAACAGAAATTCAGACTCTAGAATTAGAATCCCAAGAACCACTTGTGGGTATGTAAAATATATCATAAGTGATTGTTTTTCAACTGAAGATAATATTTCTATGGGCATCGCTGAAAGTCAAATGCCATAATAGTTTCTTCATCCTCTAAACCTTTCTTAGGAAAACCAAGAGCTTACTATTCTCCCAGAAAATGTAACACATGGAGCCATTATTAGTCACTAACAACTTAGCGTAAACAACCACCCCAGTTTGACAAAGACTGAAGGAGTTCCCTGGATGTGAAAATTTCAGTGTTAACGTTGGGGAAGTCCTAGGAAAACTGATACAAGTTGGTCACCCTAAACTTAGTGTGTAACCCTTTTAGCCTCTGACCTATATGGTCTAGTCCATGCATACAGTCTCATCCATAGAAGCTCAGACCAAATACCTATTTAGTAAGAAAAATAGAATTATGTTCTAATTTTTGAGTTTTGAAAATGTATTAAAGTTGAGTCTTTACCAACTCTCTGGCAACAACCCGTTTACCTTTTTCCCTCTTCCCCAATTATGTTACCTCCATTTTATTCTAGCACCTTTCATTCGCCCTCAATTTCCAAAATCCTCTTATCTGCTTATTTTGAAGGTTAGCTTAACTTCGTTCCTTTCTCCTTCACCTCCCAGGTTTCACCTTCATTGCTAACATTCAACATGAATGTATGAAACTGATTTGACAGGGACAGGAGAAAACACTTCTTGGGTCAGTAGTGGATGGACTTTTTTTTTTTTTTTTTTTTTGAGACAAAAGTCTCACTCTGTCCCCCAGGCTGGAGTGCAATGGCACAATCTCGGCTCACTGCAACCTCCACCTCCTGGCTTCAAGCAATTCTCCTGTCTCAGCCTCCAGAGTAGCTGGGATTAGAGGCACCTGCCACCATGCCCGACTAATTTTTGTATTTTTAGTAAAGATGGGGTTTCACCATGTTGGCCAGGCTGTCTCGAACTCCTGACATCAGGTGATCACCCACCTCAGCCTCCCAAAGTCCTGGGATTACAGGGGTGCCACTGTGCCCAGCCAATGGATGTACATTTTGAGGAGAAAAACAAAGTCATCGGATCATCATTCTCTTCTGCGAGAGAAGGAAAATTCCAGAATCGTAGAATATTACATATGTGATGAGTCCTTCCCAATAAGAATAGCTGGAAGTGAGGCCGGGCGCGTGGCTCACACCTGTATCCCAGCACTTTGGAGGCCAGGCGGGCAGATCACCTGAGGTCGGGAGTTCAAGACCAGTCTGGCCAACATAGTGAAACACAGTCTTACTAAAAAAA